TCAGGGATGTATCCTTTCACCATACCTATTCAATCTGTATGCTGAGCAAATAATCCGAGAAGCTGGACTATATGAAGAAGAATGGGGCATCAGGATTGGAGGAAGACTCATTAACAACCTGCGATATGCAGATGACACAACCTTGCTTGCTGAAAGTGAAGAGGACTTGAAGCACTTACTGGTGAAGATCAAAGACCACAGCCTTCAGTATGGATTACACCTCAACATAAAGAAAACAAAAATACTCACAATCAGCCCAATAAGGAACATCATGATAAACATGATAAAAGACTGATAAACAGAGAAATGACTGAAGTTGTCAAGGATTTCATTTTACTTGGATCCACAATCAACACCCATGGAAGCAGCAGTCAAGAAATCAAAAGACACATTGCATTGGGCAAATCTGCTGCGAAAGACCTCTTTAAACTGTTGAAAAGCAAACATGTCACCTTGAAGACTAGGGTGTGTCTGACCCAAGCCATGGTATTTTCAATCGCATTATATGCATGCGAAAGCTGGACAATGAATAAGGAGGACCAAAGGAGAATTGATACCTTTGAATCGTGGTGTTGGTGAAGAATATTGAATACACCATGGACGGCCAAAAGAATGAACAAATCTGTCTTGGAAGAAGTATAACCAGAATGCCCCTTAGAAGCAAGGATGGCAAGACTATGTCTCACATACTTTGGCCATGTTATCAGGAGGGACCAGTCCCTGGAGAAGGACATCATGCTTGATAAAGTACAGGGTTAGGGGAAAAAAGGAAGACCCTCAAGGAGATGGACTGACACAGTGGTTGTAACAATGGGCTCAAGCATAACAACGATTGTGAGCATGGCGCAGGACTGGGCAGTGTTTTGTTCTGTAGTACAAAAGGTCACTATGAGTTGAAATCAACTCGACGGCACCTAACAACAACAACCTTTATTAACTCCTTCCTTCTGCCTGCTTTAGGTTTAGTTTTTTCATATTTCTCCAGTGTCTTAATGTTGAAGGTTTGGTTATTGATTTGAGATTTTTCCTCTTTCTTAATGTAGACATTTATTGCTATAAATTTTCCTCTACACTGCTATAGTTGTATCCCATACGTTTTTGTCCTTTGAATCTTCATTTTCATTCATCTCAAAGTACTTTCTGATTTCCTGTTTGACCCTTTGTTATTTAGGAGACTGCTGTTCTATTTCTACACATTTGTGAGTTTCCCAAATTCTTCCTTGTTTACAGATTTCTAATTTCATTCCATTATGGTCAGGAACATACTTTGTATCGTTATTTTTTTTAATTTATTGAGATCTGTTTTATGGCCAAGCATATGGACTGTCTTGGAGAATATTCTATGTGCACCTTAGAAGAACGTATATGCTGTTCTTGTTGGGTGAGGTGTTCTATAAATATCTATTAGGTCTAGTCGGTTTATCATGTTGTTCAAGTCTTCTATTTCTTGTTGATCTTCTGTCTAGCTGTTTTATCTGTTACTGAAAGTGGGATGTTGAAGTCTCCAACTATTATTATTGAATTATCTATTTTTCCTTTTATTTCTGTTGGTTTTTTGTCTCGTGTATTTTGGTGCGTATATGTGTATAAGTGTTATAACTTTCTGATGGGTTAACTTTTTTATCATTATATGATACTCTTCTTTATCGCTAATATTTTGTTTTATAGTGTATTTTGTCCAATATTAATAAAGTCATTTTTTGTGGTTGTTGTTTGTACATTCTTTTTTCATCCTTTTACTTTCAATTTCAATCTGTTTTTATCTTTTAATCTTAAGTATTTCTCCTGTAGACAGCATATAGTTATATCCAGTCTGCCAATCTTTCCATTTCGATTATATTGTTGAACCCAGTCACATTTTATGTTATTATTGAAAAATCTGGATTTACATCTGCTATTGAACTTTTTGTGTTCTATATGCCTCATGTCTTTTTTGTTCCTCTATTCCTCCTTTGGAGTCCCTGGCTGGTGCAGATGGTTAATGCACTCAGATGCTAACTGAAAGGTTGGCTGAAGGTTCAATTCCACCCAGAGGCACCTCAAAAGAAAGGTCTGGTGATCTACTTTTGAAAAAAATCAGCCATTGAAAACCCAAAGGAGCACAGTTCTGCTCTGACACACACGGGGTCACCATGAGTTGGAGTTGACTTGACGACAAATGGTTGAAGTTGATTCCTCCTTTACTTATTTCCTTTGTATTGACTGAATATTTTCCCTGATGACTCTGTTTGCTCAGAAAATTATATGGTGACTTTACCTATGATCTAGCAATTTCATAACCTAGAGACTCTTTTGCAGGCATGCTTTTGAAGACATGTTCAAGAAAATTCACTACATTAACGTTCATAATAGTAAAAAAAAAAAAACAAAAAACAAAACTGGAAATAATCCAAATTTCCATTAACAAATTTATGGATAAAGAAATTGATGTATATTCCCACATAGAATAGTATACCATTGCGAAAGAATGCATTCTAGCTCGTGAAATTAAATGTATTAATCTTAGAAACAATATGTTAAGAAATATATGTGATAGTATTTTTATAAAGTTAAAAACATGCAAAATTAAATAACATGTTAATTTCTGATTTAAAAAGCTGTGTATAAGTAGTAAAACTATGGAAAAATGCAAAGGAATAATAAATACAAAGTTGAGGAAAATTGTTACATGTTTTGGAGGAGAAGGGCAGGAAGCAGTGGGATGGGATCAGGCTGCAGCACAGGAACTTCAATGGCATTGAGTTAATATTGTACAACTTCAAGGAAAATGTAGGCTTAAGTCCTTTAAATGTCACTTCCTCCCTATCCTTTATGCTAAACTTGTTATGTGCATGTTTATATACATTATAAACCCCAAAAGATAAAATTATAATTTTTGCTTTAAACAGTTACATATATTTTAAAGAAATCAGGAGGAAAAGGATAGTTTTTCCTCTGACATCTCAATTTTGCTGTTAAGTCCATCCAGTGAATTTTTAAATTTCAGATCATATATTTTTCAGTTTTAGAATTTACATTTGGTTCTTTTATATTGTGTATGTCCCTGCTGAGCTTTTCTATTCTTTCTTACGTTTATAAAAAAGAATTAGAAGGAAGTTTGGAGAAATGAAATGCTATATTGAATTGTTGGATGGTGGGTGATTTTTTTATTTAAAAAATGTATACTCATGTTTTAAAATTGAATTAGCACATTAAAAAAAATTATCCCATAAAAATCAATACTGAAAATTTGTACATACAACTGTAGTACAAACATCCAGATCTCCTTCAACAAAATCCAAATATTTTGTTCAAACATTTGTCTAACAGTTGTTAAAAATGTTCAACATTTTGTTATATTTACTTAATATCTGTGCATATATTATATATATACAACCATATGAATAGTTCAGCAAACTATATTTATGTGTGTGTGTGTTTGCTGAACTATTTTTAAGTAAATTGCAGCCATCATGACACTTCAGCCCTAAATATTAAACCACACCTTGCATACTGTAAGAATAAGTGTATCTTACATAACCACAATATCAGTCTCAGACTTAAGAAAATTAACAATAATTCTAGAATTTTATCTAATATTCAGTACATATTCAAATTTTCCCAATTGTCTCAAGAATATCTTTTATAACTATCTTTTTCAAACCTAGATCCAATCAAAGTTGTTGCATCTTTTTACTCTCTTTTAATCTAGAAAAGTTTCCTCATCTTTGTTTTTTAAAACTTTAATGTTTTAAAGAATCTAAGCTTGTATGTCTCACATTCTGTATTAATCTTATCATAGCCTCATTGTATTGTTTAACTTTATTCCTACACCCTAAATTCCTATAAACTGTAATTTAGGTCTAAGCTTGTCTTGATTAGATTCAGGTTAAACATTTTTTATGAGAATAATTTATAGGTGATGTGTACTTCATATTATATCACTCAGGAAGTACATGATGTTAAGCTGCCCACAATTAGTTATGCTAATTTTGAGCACTTGGTTAAAGTGGTTGCTACAGATCTCTCTATTGTAAGGTACATTTTCCCCTTTGCAATAATCAATCTGTGGGCAGTTACTATGGCACTATGCAAATATCTTTTCCCCAACAAACTTTTACCTAGTGATTTTAGTACTATTGCTAATTCTTGACTGAATCAATCATTATTTATTACAAAGAGTTGCAAAAATGGTGAATTTGTAATTTTATCATTCCTTCTACATTCTTCTGTTAAAAAAAAAAACTTTTTCTTTTCTTGCTCCTTTTTTTTTTCTTTTCTTTTCTTTTTTGAAGATCACCAAGGACTCATGGATTTTTCTTTTTTTCAGAATGTTGCAGTCATCTTTTCGCTGTTCATATTATTCTGAAATTAGCTAGTATATGCCCCTGCAATCTGGCTGTTATGTCTTTTTTATATAACCTCATTAGTCTTTGAGGGCTTCTTTGATTTGTCTTAACAAATATTTCTGAAAATCCTTTAGATTGCTTATATTTTTTCACTAATCAAATGTTCTCTTCCTCTGAGTTCAGGGCAGTCAGAGCTACTAGAAAGTGAGGGGGACTCCTGGAAAGGAGAAAATGAGAATGGAGTAGTAACAAAATCTGTGTATAAACTCTGCCCGAATCTTCAGCTAATCCCAAATGACTCATGCACAGGCAGACTACAAGCAGCCCAGCTAAGTGTAAAAGAACTGAACTTAAATCTCAGCTACCACCTGTGAGACAGAGCTTGCAGTCAGAGTCATGGTTTAAAAGATTTCAGAAAAACATTTTATAATAAAACATGCTTAGTCTTTTAGGTTGTATCACTGCGCTTCTGAAAAAAATAGACTTATAAAAATATTATTGTGTTACAAACTAATGCTTTCTTTTTTTAACAGATAGAGTCTTGTTTTCTTAAGCACATGAGTTTGAAGGTAGATAATAAATAAAAGGAGTCAGTCAGGTATACATAAATTACAACAATGAATATCAACTGGAAAATGTGATAAAAAGTGAGAAAATGGTTTTGATACATACCTGAATTACTTCATAAAGGTGTACCTGAACACCCCCTAAAACAATAGGATATTTTTCTATATCTTCATATTCCATTAGTTCTAAGTAAATATTATTCCGCACATCATCTTGACGTCTGGGAACCTCAATATCAAAATACATGTGAAAAAAAGCATTGAATTTGCTGTCTGAATTTCAGATACAATAGCTGAGTAAATATATCCATACACTATATTATACGATGTACACACCTAATGAGTAGTTTTCGTATGCCACTAGCCTTCTAACTTTTCAGTCTCACAGTCACATATATCCTAATACCAACAACAATCAGGATCTTGTTTGTTTGCTGTCAGTTACAGTCTTTTTGAAATACCCATTGCCTACATTCTTTTTTTAACTCTGTACAAAAGTTCACCCTCATCTCTCTACTGAAACTGTATTACCAAAAGTTAAGCATCCAGTATTCTTTTCAGTCTCTTTTTATAACCTCAACTCAAAAGTCTCTCAACCTTAAGTTCAGTAGTACAATACCATTATTTTGTTATTTTTAAAAATCTGTACACTCTTTTGCTAATTAGAAAAAAATTCATGCCTTTCACCCCAAGATTCTAGGTGCCTTTCTATGGTGTCTCTCCCCACAACTGTTCAATGCTTGTGACTCTCTTCCTCTGAGACATAAGAAAAAAAGCAATTCACGTGTCAACTTGTGTGCCAGCAGAGGGGTTAAGAGTGCAGGCTCAGTTTTTCAGTAATTTCACATATAGATCATTAGAACCAATCTGGCTGTCAGAAAAACTACAAATACCAAATAAAATATTTAAAATATCTTCTTAAAAAGCATAAAAGAGTTCGTGAACTGGTAAGGAGTAATCATGTAAAACTCCAAGTACTGGCAGAAACTCAGAGAGATAAACTAGACCCTGAAGTTGTTCTTGACCTGTGGGCATTCCCAACCAGGTGACCTGAATCTGCAGTTGTCAAAGCCTGGGAAAGCAGAGAAATGACAGGGCAAAGACATGTCCCCCAACCCTCCTTCCATAAAGTGAAAAACCCAGAGGGCTATGGCCTCGGTAAACAGAGAAACTTTTATCCCAATTCATCCACAGAAGGCTGCAAGGAAGGCTTGCACTGCTGAGCAGAATGAGGGGGGAAAAAATCTCTGAGAAGATATAAACAAAAACAAGTTTATGTGGAATTGCAGCCTAAATTCATATTCACTGGATGGTATAAAGAGCCTCAAGCCTAGGATTTAGTATGAAGTGGTCTCAAACTGGTAGTAGCCTCAGGTGACTTAGAAGCAAATGCAAATCTTTCTCAGAGCTGAAATTTTCAACATGAAGCTCAAAGAAAACTAAAAAATAATTTTCCAAGGATAATGAGCAGATCATAGCAGCAACTTCAGATTTCCATTTACAGAACTCATCTGTCTAGATCTGGCTACTCTCTAAAAAATACTTTTTCAATTTTTCCTTAATAATTAATATACTATCACATTGGTAAATAAAAATCTTTATATACCAGAAATATTAACCAAACATGCACTGCAATTCCTCCATAATATGTGTATATGTATATGTGCACGTATACGGTAGTTGTGTGCATATATGTGTGTTTATATCTATAGATAAGTATGTGTATATATATTATATATAAAGAGAGAGAGAGTGTGTCTATGCAAGGGGAACACAGGAGAGGACAGGAAGAGAGGGCAAGGAGATGAAAAAGAAAGGGTGGAGGAGAGTAGCTGGGAAGGGATGAGCAAAATAAAGAAAAATACATGTGTGATAAACACTCAAGACCACAGATAGTAACATCTCTGGAAAGAAGTCAAATGAGATTATGCATTTTGCAGTGAACTTATATAGAAAGACCAACATAACCCACAGTGTAAAAATAGAACACTGTCAAATACAAAACAAAAGGCACTGATTTTTTTTCCCACCCACTTAAAAAAAAGATATAATTAGTGTAGAATATTTGAAACTATAAAGACATATTCTTACATAGAGAGGAGAACTTTGAACATTACCTGTACAGAAAAATATTTCACTTCATCAAACTTAATTACAGCGTTTTTTTCACTGCTTTTTGATAGTAAGGTATGCATTTTTGTATGTTTCACAACATTGTTGATAGTGATGCGAATGAATAAATTAGTGCAATGTGGTTTTAAAATGACTAGAAAATAGAATGATATTTAGGAAGCAAGTCTTACTGTAACTGAGCAATAATACCTTATAAAATTAATCCACTAAACAACTGAGCCCAAAACCTAAGAATCAATCAAGTCGGTATAGAAGGTAGCTGTAAAGCATATTAAACAACAGAAAAAAGTCCTTTAAAATAGTATTTTTGACCATCACTGGTAAGCACAAGATAATCAGGAAAAGAAGGTGATTCTTCCTTAGATCACTTCTTACATTTTTATCCTCACATTTCCATAATTCCTTTGAAAAATACTCTATATATTAATTTTAAGGTGACTAAATATTTGCAATATATAGTTGAAATTTTTTCTAAGCATAATTATGTACAAATTTAAAAAAAATTAAAAGTATGTCACCTGAGAATATTTTATTTTTAATTTTAAGACAACAGAATTTAAAGGAAAGTGTTCTATACTCTAATTCACTGCACTATATACCTCACTTATACTATATTGCTCTGTATTGTTACTTTTTCATAGCACAGCATGCATTAAAACAATCTTGTTCTCAGGTTTAATTGATTACCTTCAATAATTCTCTTTATATTATATATTATATAATTATACATA